TATTCCTATAAAACTGCTTATCTATCATGATGGTTTAACAGATATTCCTATAAAACAGCTTATCTATTATGATTGGTTGAACGTATATTCCTATAAAATAGCTTATTTATTATGATGGTTGAACAGATATTCCTATAAAACAGCTTATCTACTATGATTGGTTGAACGTATATTCCTATAAAACAGCTTAGTTATTATGATTGGTTAAACGTATATTCCTATAAAACAGCTTAGTTATTATGATTGGTTAAACGTGTAATCCCAAAAACTGATTATTAACTGTGATTGAACAAACGTGTAAGATCTCACCTCCCTTGAACAGATCTCTGCAGCATAAAGCCCATGGAGGAACTCTGCATCTCCTTCCAAACGGAGGCCATTTTCAACCACTCTTAGCCTGCCCATTCCATCCTAGAATACAGTGAAAGAAAAATCCGCATTTTGAATCGAGCATCAGTTTACCAAATAAACTATTTACACAACACCTATTTTACTATTCCGTGCAGTAAACAAACTCTAAAATGACATTACGTGTAGGTATTTATTTAGTATAAAGCCAATATTCAGTTAATAATGATTTATATAAAACGGAAACGTTCACTGTTGTGGAAAATTAGCTAGCACTGACCATGCACGTTTACTTTTATTTGCAAATAACAGACTTTAATAGGGTGTAAAAACGTCGTGGGATGAAGAGAGTTGACATAAGTCATAAAAATAAATAATATAACAAAGGTACGTTACGCAGTATTATCTTAAAATTTGTGATTGAGAAAACATATGTGCACAACGTGGTTGAGTGAGGTCATTGGTTGAATAGACGTCATATAGACAATATGGTTTGACGTATGTGAATATTTCTATCACCAACAAACAGATATGAAATTAAGTGAGTTGGTTCCACATTCAGAGAACATTACATGAAAAAATACTTCATGAAATAAAATATGAAACTATTAAGTTCACAAAATATAATAAGTTAATATTTAAAGATCTGCATCAAATTTAATAAGAATAGTAGTGCCTTTTATCACAGTGACACAAAAAAGTAAATTGAGAATTAGTCAGTGAAGAAACTAGAATTATAATATAAGGATTTGAATTTGCACATAGATTGAAAAGATCCATAACCAGAAGTTACTGAGTTTCAAAAAACTATCACCAAACCAGATGGATATATTAGAAAATTATACAGTAGTGGATGATGGTTCCTAAAGCAGTTTGGTCATATTACACAGCTATACAGTAGTGGATGATGGTTCCTAAAGCAGTTTGGTCATATTACACAGCTATACAGTAGTGGATGATGGTTCCTAAAGCAGTTTGGTCATATTACACAGCTATACAGTAGTGGATGATGGTTCCTAAAGCAGTTTGTTCGTATTACACAGCTATACAGTAGTGGATGATGGTTCCTAAAGCAGTTTGGTCATATTACACAGCTATACAGCAGTGGATGATGGTTCCTAAAGCAGTTTGGTTTTTGTTTATGCATTGAAGTAACTTTGAATACCAAACTGCTTTCTTATCCATCATCCGCTATTATATAGCTATATTAATAACCATCATTCACTATTATATAGGTTTAAGAACCATCATACACTAGTGCAAAGCTTTGTAATATGTCCAAAGTGCTTTAAAAACCATCATCCACTACTGCAAAGCTTTGTAATATGTCCAAAGTGCTTTAAAAACCATCATCCACTACTGTATAGCTTTCTAATATGTCCAAACTGCTTTAAGAATCATCATCCACTACGATATAGTTTTGTAATATGACCCAGTTGCTTTAAGATCCATCATTCGCCAATTTGTAGTATGTCCAAACTGCTTTTAGAACCATCAGCCACTATTTTATAATTTTTTAATATGCTTTAAGAATGATTATCCACTACTGTATAGCTGTGTAATATGTGTTGTGGTACAGACGAAATCCAGAGGGAGTTAATTGTTTGTTTTATTGAATTTAGCGCAAAGCTACTCAAAGGTCCGTCTGCGATAGCTGTAACTCGTTTTCAGGTGATAAACTAGATAGAATGCAGCTGGTCAATACCATCTATCGCCAGCTCTTTAGCTGTTTTTTGACAAAGGATAATGGGATTGACCATCACATTATAACGCCATGCAAATCTAATGAGTTTGGTTTTCGTTTGAATTTTGCGCAAAGGTACACAAGAGCTATCGTCCCTAACTTAGTAGTGAAAGACTAGATGAAATGCAGCTAGTCAACATCACCAACTCTTGAGCAACTCTTGTACCATAGAATAGTGGGATTGACCGTTACATTATAATGTCCCCGTCTGAAAGGTCGGTGACGGGGATTCGAACACGCGACTCTCAGCTTGCGAGTCGAGCGCCTAGTGAGCTAATAGAGCCAGAATATGGAACGATTTGTAGTGTCTTAGCCATCACAAAAACTAAGGCCAGTCTTTGGGGTTCATTCGGTAAAAATTGTGTGTATGGATTGATACATATATATCAGTAAAGGTTGTAAAATACTCCATAATACTCTGGAGGCAGTAACTTTAAATGAGTTTAAGAGAAAGCTTGATTCCTAAATGATAAGGGCTGACTTTATTCTATATATTTATTTGATACATTTGGTTTAGTTTTGAGGATGGGATCGCCGAGATGAACAAATATGTTGTCCCCAAGCATTATGTCATGTTACAACTATTTCAATTACATGATATTTTACGCGGATTTCAACATAATTGATTGAACCCCTGATTTGAGTTATATTGAATCATTTTTATAGACTGATGTTGGATGTTCAACATTATTTTACATGCCAGATACTTGCATAAATTTCGACAGTTATTTTTCCATTCAGCTATCTGCCTTAGAAGATACTTATAAATATGGCTTTTGTGTAGCTTTTTTAGAACTAAGTCCACGTGAATTATCTTGTTTATTATTCCATGGTAGCTTTCTATTTTAGCTGCAATTAAATGCACAAGCTCAAGTGCGCTACAGGTAGCCAGTCGTGGAGTATCCTTACATAATAATAATAATAGTTGTAGAAAAGAAGAATTTTTCGTCGGAAAGTCCTGTGTTGTACCCTCCAAAAAGTGGTCAATTTTAAGTGCCATCTACATTCACATATCACCATACATTATTAACTGAGAGTCAGGGTCTTTAAACTGTATAGTCACAGATCATAGGGATGTCCTTAATAAAAAAAACTGACTGGCTTGTAAGAAGAAGGTTTGCTAAGATATTCCTTTCATCTGATGTTTGCGAGCATATAATTCATTCTGTAGATAATAAAAAGTTGGTATTCAAGTATGGAACTGAATTTCGTTGTCATCAAGTTAGAAATTGAAAAGTCTTGATAAATATGTTAAAGTAACAATGTGTCGTGTGGAAATGTTTCTTTTTAAGTCGTATTGGTATGAAATCCTGTTTTCCGTATCATGTTTCACGATCTTGTGTAAAAGTAGCAAATGGAATAAGTTAATAGAAATGATTTATATTAAGTTAGGATATAAACAAGGATAGTTAAAAATTTAATGGTTTCTGAGGGCAGCATCATAGAGTTAATATTTTAGTATTATTTTAAAAAACCGGAGTTACAGGAATATCAATTTTTGACAATAACAGTATTGGAAATCTCTAAGGTGCTAGATAAAGAACGTAGTATTTAGAATGTTTGGAGACGGCTTGAATAGGTAATGAAGAAAAAACTGTAATATAAGTTTAACAAAACAGCAAATGTACAACGTTTCGACAAGGTTTTGTCGTCATCAGTAGTATTTAGAAATGTAATAGGCCTCATACTAATGGCAAATGACAAGTGTATTTGTAATATTTTTCGCCGGATCACAAAAGGTTCATACTATAAACCCACTATACTCTTTAAAACACAAACTTAATATTAAAACAAACCCAATAGACTTTTAAAAACTCAAAATAGATATATCTATCTATTGAAATACAAGCCTAATAGGCATGTCCCAGTATAATCATTAACACACAAACCCATTATAACTGTTTAAACCCAATATATTCGTTAAAACACAAACCCAATATATCCAAAAACACAAAACAAATACTTTCTCTGAATATACTCTAAAACGCAAACCTTCGATACCGTAAAGACATATGCAATATATCCAAAAACACGAATCCAGTATATATCCATTACAAGATACAAAAAATCTAATAAATCTGGATTTAAGCATGAAAAACAAAAATGAAAATGCAAGGTGTAGTTTAACATAAACTTTGATGACTAGTTAGATCCAGATAACGATAAAGATCAACGTATTTCATCATAATACGATAAAACGAGAGATGTTGTTGATAAAAGAAGATCTAAACTTTGATGACAAGTTAGATCCAGATAACGAGAAAGATCAACGTATTTCATCATAATACGATAAAATGAGAGATGTTGTTGACAAAAGAAGATCTAAACTTTGATGACAAGTTAGATCCAGATCCAGATAATGTTAAACTTGGTTTTTGTAGAAGTAGAGGGTTAAATCGAGATAACGCCGAACTTCTTTCATCGTTGAATGGGAGGGCGGAACAGTTTCGTTATTAATAAATTATTTGTAAATTACTCACGATGGAAAAGTCCATGACTTTGATAATCCAGATTGTGAGGGCTAAATTAATGATGACGACAGCCATTAGAAGAATAACGAGGAGGTAGAGACACCGTTTTCTCCAGCCGTAGATTCCTATTCGATAAATAAGTTGGTGCTGGTACCGGTCGTAGTCGGGACCAGAACGTGCAATCCATTCTTGGGATGCTGGTGATGTTGCTGATGAAGCCTCACCTCTTCCCATTGTTAGCCTAAAAACAGTGTGAATAAACAGTTAAAAACAATGTGAATAAACATTTAAAACAATGTAAATAAACAGTTAAAAACAATGTAAATAAACAGTTAAAAACAATGTGAATAAACAGTTAAAAACAATGTAAATAAACAGTTAAACCAATTTCAATAAACAGTTAAAACAGTGTTAATAAACTGTTAAAACAGTGTAAATAAACAGTTAAAAACAGTGTAAATAAACAGTTAAAACAATGTGAATAAACAGTTAAAAACAATGTGAATAAACAGTTAAAACAATGTAAATAAACAGTTAAAACAGTGTTAATAAACTGTTAAAACAGTGTAAATAAACAGTTAAGACGGTGTAAATAAACAGTTAAAAACAGTGTAAATAAACAGTTAAAACAATGTAAATAAACAGTTAAAAACAGTGTAAATAAACAGTTAAAACAATGTAAATAAACAGTTAAAAACAGTGTAAATGAACAATTAAAAACAATGTAAATAAACAGTCAAAAATTACACATGAAGAAAAAGATGAAAGAAACATAGTAAGAATATGTCAAACTAGGATTTACTGTACTGAAGCAGTTTATCAAAAGGGAATAACCTTTTACGGATTTATTAATATTTCATCCTGAAACTAGGATGCAATGTAATCCAATAGTGTTAGTCAACATTAGTGTAGCAAGAAAGCTTTATGAAACATTAAACTCCGTTACACGTCATTCTGAAATTATGATTTATTGTAACCAGTACACAGTTAACCGAGAACAGAAAGAAAGCTTTGAGAAATGTTAATTTCCGTTACGAACTTATTAACAAGTCATCCTGAAAATATAATTTTACAGTAAACAGGCAGCTATTTAACAGGAAAATAATCCATTACGGACTTACTAGTATTTAGTGTAACCAATTGCTCAACATTTCTCAAAACTGTTTTCTCTTCTTTTGACTGCTTGATTTCAGTAATTCCTAATTTGAATTTAACGTGTTTAAAGGCTCATAATGAAGTTTAACATTTTCAATGAAGACGACAAACAACTTCAGATAAATGTTTATTTATTCTACCCGACGTTTCGGCTTACTCGTTTTCAAGGTTCTATAAACGTTACAGATTACAAAACTGGTTTTAAATTATAGTAACAGTAAACGATACAAAACTACAACAGTATAATAGAACGGTGCACGATGAAGCGTACTAAAAGTATTGTTGAACGGGTTAGAGTCATAGATCATGAAATGAAGGTTAAAAAAAAATCTTTCATGAAATGATGATACTTTTATAGGGACAGGCATTGTATCTGATAATGGAAGGGCGTTTGGATTGAATCGAAAAAGATTCCTTCAATTTCCTGTCGCGAAAGTTATCACAAATCTCTAAAATTTTGAGCCGATAATGTGTCTCGATAATTATGATGTGTGTATTGATGTATTGTTCAGCGGTAGCTTCTTTGTTGTCGAGATTTACAGTGGCACGAAAGTTTTCTTTGAAACGATCGTGTATTGGACGATTGGTTTCACCTACGTCATTTCATAGACGGTGTTCCTAAGAAGTCAGAATTTCTCTAAGCCGTTGGTCTTAACAAAGCACTTTTCGGATTTGCATGGATTGTTGTTACTGATGGTTGAACGAGTGAATAAATCCTTCAGTTTTTAATAGGTTTTTGTATGATTTGGATATTCAAACCAGATCTTCTAACTGCTTGACGAAGACAAGTAGTTAAAGGTTTCATCCACGAAGGACCATAATCCGTGTGACAGTGTTTTAATGTGGTGGTTTCTGTGTTTTTTGTTGTTGTTTTTTTTTGTCATTAATTAATATTAAAATCTTGCGTGTCAAAATTGTGGAATGTCTTAGTAACGTAACTATCAGGATAGCCAGTGGACAACAGTAGCTGTTAAAGTCCGATCCTGGCTTACTTCTTACTGTCCATGATGTTGGAGATTTTATGAATGCTGATTACATCATGTTTGGTAATTGATGGATGGTGTGAGTATTATAATGTATAATAATGGGTTTTACACATGGTTTGGAATATACGGTAGTAATAAGTTTACTGTTTTCAATAGTGACCATGGCATCACGAAAGGGTATAGACTTCCCGGTGTTATCAATATGTGTTTGTGTGAGCTTTATATCGGTGGGAAAGGGTAACGTTGATTATTAAGAATTTTAAAGAACCCCAAAAGAGACACCTTCTTAGTCCATGATTCCATTTACCGAAAATGTTATCTACATATCTGTACCACACAGTTGGTTCAAGATTAGTTTCAAAATTCCACTGATGATTTAAAGAATTGCATAAAGGTAGAGGCCTAAACAAAAACAATATTGTTGCCCATAGCAACTAAAAGTAGAGGTCTAAACAGCAGCAATATTGTTGCCTATATCAACTAAAGGTAGAGGTCTAAACAGCAGCAATATTCTTGGCTACAGCGACTAAAGGTAGAGGTCTAAATAGCAGCAATATTGTTGCTCATAGCAACTAAAGGTAGAGGTCTAAACAGCAGCAATATTGTTGCCCATAGCGACTAAAGATAGAGGCCTAAACAGCAGCAATATTGTTGTCCACAGCGATAGCTTTGATGTTTTTATAAAGAGCTGAGTCGAACTTAAAAAATTGTTGTTGAGAGCAAATCTGAGAGGATTTTCGATGCACTCCATAGGGAATCAAATTAAGTCGAAGGAGTATGCAGACAATAACATTAGAATAGAAAACAAGTTGAAAAGACTAGCATGCACGAATGAGAAAGAAATCGTGTTTTTAAGTAATTCTATTGATCATGATTTGAACGATGGAATTACAATTCTAACTAATTTAAAACTTTCCAAGGACTGCATTTCAATTCCCTCCAAAGGTCCTAATTTTGCTATTTCGGGGTCAACCTATCGACAACCTAACTCTCGATATCCGTTCATCCCTTCACCAATACTTCTACAAATTAAGATTTCACGAAAAATATTCTTCGTCCGATATAGACATATCTAACTCCGATAACAATCACAGTTTAACCTTTCTCCTGTACTTTTTGATTTTCCTAAGCCCACACTTTCCAGAGCATGCCCTACTATGGAAAAGAGTACTGAGAAAACTTAAAAATGACGCTGACAGAATTTTAAATAGCTTTAAGAATTATCATGCAAAACTCAATCTTTCAAGAAACGAGCGGTTAGTTATCAACGAGTTAAAAAAGAATGATCACATACTTGTGAAAGTGTACGGGTTTTGTTTGACTGAATACATCCACCTACGTAGAAAAGGTTAAGGTACAGCTAGAAGATACGTCTAATTAACGACTAAATAGAGACCCCACGAAAAAAAAAAAAAAAACTGAAAAACATTTTAAAGTACTTTCAAAAGTAAAACCACTATATCCAAACTACTTTTAGACGATCTTAGACCATCTCATTCCAAACATCCTGAAATGTATGGATTACTCAAAGATCATAAATCTGAAATACACAACTTTCCGCTAGCGTCTGTATCTTGGCTACCCGAGAAATTAATTCACGCTCTCTTCAACAAAATCCCTTCACACCTAAATAACACCGATGACTTTTTCAACAGGCTACATGAAGATGGTTTACAAATGAGTTCGAACACTATTCTATTAAGTCTTGAAGTCGTCTCTATGTACCCTTCCGTTACGATAGAAGAAATTATAAGCTCGGTTATAAATCTTATTAGATCGACTACCCCATCTACTACCAATGATACCCCTGTAGAACTCATGGAAAATTATCTCAGATTTTTTCTCAACAACAGTTACTTTAAATTCAATTCAGTTCTTTATAAATACACCGAAGGTATCGCTATGAGCAACAGTATTGGTGTTGTTTTGGCTTCTACCTTTAGTCGCTATGGGCAACAATATTTAAGTCTTCCAGAAACAGATTTTTTCTGTTGTTTTGGCCTCTACCTTTAGTTGCTATGGGCAACAATGTTTAAGTCTTCCAGAAACAGGTTTTTTTATGTTGTTTTGGCCTCTACCTTTAGTTGCTATGGGCAATATTATTATTGTTGTTTTGGCCTCTACCTTTAATTGCTATGGGCAAAAATATTGTTGTTGTTTTCATCTCTGTCTTTATGCATATTGTGAATCATCAGCTCTTATTCAGTGGCATTTTGAAACTAGTCTTGAACCAACTAGGATGTTTGTTTGTTTTGTAATTAAGCCCAAAGCTACACAATGGGCTATCTGTGCTCTGCCCACCACGGGTATCGAAACCCGGATTCTAGCGTTGTAAGTCCGCACGCCTTCTACCAAATGTTAAACAAGGTATCACTATCGGTTAACTTAATAGGATTGAAAAAAATATATACACCACCATGGACGGTAGGACATAAGTCAGGATGAAACTTCAAAAGCTACTGTTGTCTCCTGGCTATTCAAATAGTTATATTACTAATGGTGACACATTCAAACGACACAATTGTGACACAGAAGATTTTAACAAGCAACAGCAAATAAAGAAACCACCACGTCAAAACACTGTGTCACGGATTATATATACCATTCGTGGATAAACCTTTAATAGCAGAACAAAAAGAAAACTTTGAAAAATGTTCAACACCATTACTAATGTGTAAAAAAATCCACCCTGAATCTAAGAGTTACTGTAATCAAGCAGTTATTTAACAAGAGAATAATCCATTACGGATTTATTAACAACGTTATCCTGAAATAAGATTTACTATAAACAAGTGGTCAGTCAACAAAGAGAAGAAGAAAACTTTGAGAAATTTGAAACTCCATTACGGACTTATTAGCACGTGATATTTAAACTAGGATTTACTGCGATCAAGCAGTTTGTCAAAAGAAGAGTAGAAAGACAACATTGAGAAGCGTTAAAATGTGTTACGGACTTATTAACACACCAATCAGTCTGAAACTTAATGTACTAAAACAGTTAGTCAACAGGAGAACAGGAAGAAAAAGAAAACTATTTGAAATGTTACATGCCGTTAGGATCTTATTAACATACCTGATACTCGGATTTAATGTAATCAAA